ACTAATGAATAAACAATAATTATTAAACACATATGACACAGATTATATATTGATACCAGAGGCCTACAAGAACCAAACTCTGTATTTCTGCTATAGTATTTCCTAATTCAGTATTTGCAATGACTTTATGTAATTACTACTAACAACAAAAATCAACTGTAGTTGGATTTATGTCTAAGTTTACTTTTTTATTTCTCATATGTTTTATATGGTTCTGTGGTTTTATGGGTTTTTCTGTTACTGTTGTGTTCTTTCTTTACTACTTTCTCTTATATTAAGTGAATATTTCCAAATATAGCCTTTTGATTTCTTTAATGTTTTCCCATGACACTGTTTTAGTTTTTCCTTAGTAGTTGCTCTGGGGCATACCATATACTTATTTTGACTTGTCAAGATCAACTTCAGATTTGTGCTAACTTAATACCAGTGAGATACAAAAAGATTGCTCCTATATTAATCTTTTCCTTTTTACCCTTTTCATAGTCTTGTTATTATATATATTACATCTACAGATGTTAAAACCCAACAATATATTGTAATAATTATTACTTTTTATAATTGTATGGCTTTTAAAGATGCTTAGAGAAGAAGAACAAGTATATATTTATATCATTTGTTGTATTAGCCTTTTTATCATTTCTGATTCTCTTCATTTTTTCCTGTGGATTCACATTACTATCTTTAGTAACTTCCTTTGTCCAATACAGCTTTGTTTCCATGTACCTCCTTTGTACTATTATTGCCATAGGCCCAACAATACCAAGTATACATTTTTATATTGCTTTTTAAAAATCAGTTAAGAGAATAAAGGAGAAAATTGCATGTGTACTATCTTTTATAATTATATAATTAGTTTTACTGCTGTTTTGTTTTTCTGTGTGGATATGAATTTCTGTCTGGGGTGACTTGCTTTTGGTCTGCAGAACTCTATGTCTCATAAGATGCATCTGCAGGCAATAGATTTCCTCAGTTTTGATTTATCTAGGGATGTCTTTATTTTGCCTTCATTTCTGAAAGATAACTTTGTTGGATATAGAATTCTTGGTTGATGTTTTCTTTTCTTTGAGCACTTTGAATGTACCATCATACTGCCTTCTGGTGTCTTGTTTCTGATAAGAAGTCAACTGTTGCTCTTCTTATGGTTCTCTTATAAATAACTTTTCTCTTGCTGCTTTCAAGATTTCCTCTTTGTTTTTCACTTTCAGTATTTTTACTATACGTCCATCCGCATATCTATTGTGTATCTCCAACTTAGAGTTTTCTGAGCTCCTGGATGTGTAGATTAATGATTTTCAATAATTTTGGAAAGTTACTAATTCTATAAAGAATGTCAGTGGTAGTTTTGTGGGAACAGCATTGAATCTATAAATTACTTGGAGCAGTATGGCCATTTTCATGATACTGATTCTTCCTATCCATGAGGATGGAGTGTTTTTCCATTTGTTTGTGTTCTCTCTTATTTCTTTGAACAGTGGGTTGTAGTTCTCCTTGAAGAGGTCCTTCACATCCCTTGTTAGCTGTATTCCTAGATATTTTATTCTGTTTGTAGTAATTGTGAATAAGAGTTCATTCATGATTTGGCTCTCTGCTTGTCTATTATTGGCATATAGGAATGCTTGTGATTTTTGTACACTGATTTTTGTATGCTGAGACTTGCTGAAGTTGCTTATCAGCTTAAGGAGTTTTGGACTGAGACGATGGAGTTTTCTAAATACAGAATCATAACATCTGCAAACAGAGACTATTTGACTCCCCTCTTCCTATCTGAATACTGTTTATTTCTTTCTCTTGTCCAATTACCCTGGCCAGAATTTCCAATACTATGTTGAATAGGAGTGGAGAGAGAGGGCATTCTTGTCTTGTGCCCTGAAAGGGAAAGCTTTCAGCTTTTGTCCATTCAGTATGATATTGGCTATGGGTTTGTCATAAAAAGCTCATTATTTTAAGATAAGTTATATCAACACCAAGTTTACTGAGAGTTTTTAACATGAAGGGATGTTGAATTTTATTGAAGGCCTTTTCTGCATCTACTGAGGTGATTATACATGATTATATGTGGCTTTTGTCATTGGTTCTGTTTATATGATCGATTATGTTTATTAATTTGCATATGTTGAACTAGCCTTGCATCCCAGGGATGAAGCTGACTTGATTGTGTTGTATAAGCTTCTTAATGCGCTGCTGGATTTGGTTTATCAGTATTTTATTGAGGATTTTTGCATTGATGTTCATCAGGGATATTCGCCTGAAGCTTTCTTTTTCTGTTGTGTCTCTACCAGGTTTTGGTATCAGGATGATGCTGGCATCATAAAATGAGTTAGGAAGTAGTCCTTTCTTTTCCATTGTTCGGAATAGTTTCAGAAAAAATGGTACCAACTCCTCTTTTACCTCTGGTAGAATTTGCCTGTAAATCCATCTGGTCTTGAGCTTTTATTGATTGGTTGACTATTAATCACTGCCTCAATTTCAGAACTTGCTATGGTCTGTTCAGGGATTTGGCTTCTTCCTGGTTTAGTCTTAGGAGGGTGCATATGTCCAGGAATTTACCCATTCCTTCCAGATTTTCTAGTTTATTTGTGTAGAGGTATTTGTAGCATTCTCTGATGGCAGTCTGCATTTCTGTGGGGTCAGTGGTGATATCCCCTTTATCATTTTTTATTGTATCTATTTTATTCTTCCCTCTTTCCTTCTTTATTAGTCGAGCAGGTGGTCTATCTATTTTGTTAATTTTTTCAAAAAACCAGCTCCTGATTCACTAATTTTTTGAAGGAATTTTCCTGTCTCTATCTCCTTCAGTTCTCTGATCTTAGTTATTTCTTGTCTTCTGCTAGCTTTTGGATTTGTTTGCTCTTGCTTCTTAGTTCTTTTAATTGTGATGTTAGGGTGTCGATTTGAGATCTTTCCAGCTTTCTGAAGTGGGCATTTAGTGCTATAAATTTCCCTCTTAACACTGTTTCAGCGGTGTCCCAGAGATTGTGATACACTCTCTTTTTGTTCTTACTGGTTTCAAATAGCTTCTTGATTTTTGCCTTAATTTTGTTATTTACCCAGGAGTCATTCAAGAGCAGGTTGTTCAGTTTCCATGTAGTTGTGTGGTTTTGAGTGAGTTTCTGAATCCTGAGTTCTAATTTGATTGCACTGTGGTCTGGGAGACTTTGTTATAATTTCAGTTCTTTTGCATTTGCTGAGGAGTGTTTTACTTTGAATTATGTGATCAGTTTGAGAATAAGTGCCACGTGGCACTGAGAAGAATGTATGTTCTGTTGATTTTGGGTGGAGAGTTCTGTAGATATCTATGAGGTCCACTTGATCCAGAGCTGAATTCAAGTTTTGAGTATCCTTGTTACTTTTCTGTCCCATTGATCTGCCTAATATTGACAGTGGGGTGTTAAAAGACTCCCACTATTATTTTGTGGGAGTCTTTGTCTCTTTGTAGGTCTCTAAGAACTTGCTTTATGAATCTGGGTGCTCTGTACTGGGTGCATAGATATTTAGGATAGTTAGCTCTTCTTGTTAAATTGATCCCTTGATCATTATGTAATGCCCTTCTTTGTCTTTTCTCATCTTTGTTGGTTTAAAGTCCATTTTATCAGAGACTAGGATTGCAACCCCTGCTTTTTTTTTGCTTTCCATTTGCTTGGTAAATTTTCCTCCATTCCTTTATTTTGAGCTGATGTGTGTCTTTGCATGTGAGATGGGTCTCCTGAATACAGCACACCAAGGTGTCTTGACTCTTTATCCAATTTGCCAGTCTGTGTCCAGCTATTACGTCTATGAAATAATATTTTACCACTGTAACCTGTCTTTGCCAGGTAGTCCTCCAACGGAGCCCTTAGCCCTACCCATCAACGATCATTGGCTTCAAACCCTGCAGCCTATGGGCCCCCAGAAAGCACTCAGTGGAGCCCTGACCTAATTGTGGAGAGCTCTGCAGCCCACAGGATCATCGGAGTCTCTGCCTCTGCCATTTCAGAGATTTAGTAGAGAAGAGTGATCATAGAGGGAGGAGATGAGGGACCCATGGTCAGAACTTTGGGGACTCACTAGGGCACCGATGTGGTCCCGAGCACGGGCATGGGCAGATGCACACAGTTGTGTAGGTATTTGTGAGACAAGGCTCTGCAACCAGACCCTTTTATTTGTACATTTACTATGACAATGTCCAGGAGACAACAGTAGAACTACCACATTCTGATGACTTACTGGCCCACGGAAGGGAAGAGATCTTGGAGCTCCCAAAGGCACCATTGTAGGTAATGTTGCCTAAGACGTGAAAGGAGAGGCTGTGAGCACGATTATGCCGCCCCTGGGGAAGGTCACAGGACAGTTCAATGTGAAATCAAACACAGGTGCTTGCCCCTCCTGTCCAGCCCTATGTGCTAGGCCTGGCTGCCTCCCTGCTCCCCTCTGTGAGCCAATCTCTGCCCAGGAAGGCACTATTACCTCACACCTGCCCCAGAGCTCACCCCCGGCAGAAATTTGCCCAGTGGTTCCCACTGACAACCAGCAGTGTCGACCCACAGGGTGGCTCTCGCCATGTGGCCAGGCCAACTGAGTATCACCAAACCTGTCCACAGCAGAACACGTCTCTCCCTTTTCTCAACGCCCAGAAACTGAGGTTCCCCTAACGTCATCCCTCCTTGGGTGTAGAAGTCTTTCATAGGTGTAAATTTCTGGGATGCAGCTGAGGGCTGTCCATTCCAGCATATCGCCTGAATGCCCCTGTCCCTGCCTCTGCAGTGTGCTTTGATGCAATCAATACATTTCTACTAGTTTATCTATGGACAAACCCACATGAGGGCAGCCCCAACTCCAGCCGGGAGCCTCACAAACCAGAACATCCACAAACAGTGAACCAACACTACTAACACAACAGTGTCTGCAGCAATAACAAGGAAAAGGAAGGCTTCCCGAAGCCAGCCAGGGCAGCACAGTCAACACCGAGGGGTATAAAGCTTCTGACCGCTCAGAGCACCTGGCACAATCGCTCCACACCAACTCACCCACCCATCCACACACTCACACCTCCCCCAGCTCACCTCCTCCACACCCCAGCATGGCCGCATCCACCATGTCCGTCTGCTCCAGCGCTTGCTCCGACTCCTGGCAGGTGGACGACTGCCCAGAGAGCTGCTGCCAGCCCCCGTGCTGCGCCCCCAGCTGCTGCACCCCGGCCCCCTGCCTGACCCTGGTCTGCACCCCAGTGAGCTGTGTGTCCAGCCCCTGCTGCCAGGTGGCCTGTGAGCCCAGCCCCTGCCAGTCAGGCTGCACCAGCTCCTGCACACCCTCATGCTGCCAGCAGTCTAGCTGCCAGCCGGCTTGCTGCACCTCCTCCCCCTGCCAGCAGGCCTGCTGTGTGCCTGTCTGCTGCAAGCCCGTGTGCTGTGTGCCCGTCTGCTGCAAGCCTGTGTGCTGCAAGCCCGTGTGCTGCGTGCCTGCCTGCTGTGAGGATTCCTCCTCATGCTGCCAGCAGTCTAGCTGCCAGCCGGCTTGCTGTGCCTCCTCCCCCTGCCCGAAGGCCTGCTGTGTGCCCGTCTGCTGCAAGCCCGTGTGCTGTGTGCCTACCTGCTGTGAGGATTCCTCCTCATGTTGCCAGCAGTCTAGCTGCCAACCGGCTTGCTGTGCCTCCTCCCCATGTCAGCAGTCCTGCTGTGTGCCCGTCTGCTGCAAGCCTGTCTGCTGTGTGCCCACCTGCTCTGGGGCTTCCTCTCTGTGCTGCCAGCAGTCTAGCTGCCAGCCGGCTTGCTGCACCACCTCCTGCTGCAGACCCTCCTCCTCCGTGTCCCTGCTCTGCCGCCCCGTGTGCAGGCCTGCCTGCTCTGTGCCCGTCCCCTCCTGCTGTGCCCCCGCCTCCTCCTGCCAGCCCAGCTGCTGCCGCCCGGCCTCCTGCGTGTCCCTCCTCTGCCGCCCCGCGTGCTCCCGCCCGGCCTGCTGAGGCCTCTGCTCAGGCCAGGAGTCCAGCTGCTGACGGGCAGGTCCATGTCTCCAGAGTTGTTTCAGGGCCATCTCCGACTTCCGGAAATCCTGGCAGCCCTGAGCCCTGGCGGAGTCTCCTCTGCCCAGGGCCTCCGCGTCTCCCGTCAGCAGTGCTGAGCCTTCATGGTCAAGTTCCCTCCCGGCACTCGTCTCTCCCACACCCTCCGCCCCATCCTGGCCAGCCGGGGCCGCTGTGTCCTGCCCTATGTGAGTGATCAGTCTGTCAACAAATAAAGCCACCACTCTGCCTTCTCAGAGGCCTTTTTTGTGTATCTGGCAGACCCTGGGGAAAAGCTCCCATGTGCTGTGTGGGATGGGCGCTTTGGGACTCGCCTGGAGCTGCGTCCAGGGTGACAGCAGCCCTGACCTCCCACTGTGCTGGGCCTGCTGCTGTGGGGTTCCCTGCCAGCCTCAGCATGTCCAGGCCCTGGGTGTGCCCTTGTCTGTGAATCTCCCACACCCACAGGGCCTGGCCTCTCCCTGGGCTCCTGCCTCTCTGTCCTCTGCCTGTCTGACCCCCGCTCACCCTCTTCTCCCCAGCTCTCTCTTACTAAATAAAATAACTATTTCTCATTCCTGGAAGATATTTTAGAGCTGATCTCTTCTTTCAAAGCACCTGTGTGCATCTGTTTGACAGTCCGTGGACCTGAAGTCTCTGTGGGCCCAGCTCAGCTTCTGTAATTTCTGCGGGTTCTCCCTCACGGTGTCGTTTCCTTGTGGCCTTGGCTATTTGTGGCTGAGTCATCACCCTTGCCCTTGAAAAGCATTTGTGGGCATTTTTGAGGCCTCTAAGAAAGATGTGTTTGCTTGTTCCTTATGTGAGGAACCTCTGATTCCAGAGCACCTTCAACTAAATCCGTGGCTTCAGTTAAGTGTGGGCCACCCACAACGTGCCGGTTTGGCTGCAGAGCAGGGTGAGGGCAGGCTTGCTGGGGCAGGATGTTCTCCTCTGGGTGAGCGGAGCCGCGGACAGCCAGCAGGCCCCCGGGATGCGCAAAGCCCCCGCGTGGCCCTGCCTCCGTCTCTGAAGGTGCAGCCCGTGCTGTCTTTAGCTCAACGTAGGGGCGGTCCCCTTTAGACCCACCACGAGGGGGCTCTCCGCTTCGAGTTCTGTCCTCTTCATCCTGCAAAACCATTCAATCCGAAATTTAAAATGGCCAGATCACCAAATGCCCTCAAGAACAAAGTGAATTCTGGGTGTTTCTAAACGCTATGGGTCACAGCAAGGGTCCTTTACCTGGGATCTGTGAGCTCAGATGAGAAGAATAAAAAATGCCTCTTTATTTCGCAGACCTCTCACTGAAATGTAGTGTTTCAATCAACAATGAATGTAGCCGAGAAAACGTATGGCCCCTGCAGCTCTGTCACCCACAGAAATGAGATATGGGGCGTCACATTATGGTGGCTGCAGATACTCAAAAGCTCATTCTGGCCCCTGCTACTTCATAATGAGGGCAGCGTGAGACCCGCTGCTGGGTCGCGCCGGGCGAGTGTTCCCTGGAGAAGCGTTAATTCGTGTTTTCACAGTTTAATAACTGCGTTTTGTTTTTTTGTTGTTGTTGTTTTGAGACAGAGTCTCGCTCTGATGCCCAGGCTGGAGTGCAGTGGCACAATCCCGGTTCTCTGCAACCTGCACTCCCAGGTTCAAGCAATTCTCTGCCTCAGCCTCCTGAGTAGCTGGGATTCCAGGCACCCGCCCCCACGCACGGCTAATTTTTTTGTGTGTTTTTAGTGGAGACGGGATTTGCCCATGTTGGCCAGGCTGGTCTTGAACTCCTGACCTCATGATCCACCTGCCTTGGCCTCCCAAAGGGCCGGGATGACAAGCACGAGCACCACGCCCACCCCATCGCCGGGACTGAATGTAGTTGGTTTCCTTTCACTTTCCTCATCTGAAAAGCTTCAGAGGTTTCACAAGGCGGTGGGGAAGGCCCCTGGTCCAAAAAGGGCAAAGACCCCTGCCTTTGACTTGGGCCTGAAATTCTTTATTCCTTTTCCAGTTTCCTGCTGTGACTAGGAAGCTTCTTCCCAGTGCTTTCAGTTGTTTTCAGCAGGTTGGTGGGTCAGACAACCTCACCAGCACGTTTCCAGAACTGGAACCCTGCCGCAACGTCTCAATTCTTAGGACTACCTGGAAATTTTCTGTAACTTTCTCCTGTTGTTGGCGATGATTCCTTAATTCTTGAGTAGGTCTTTTCCTTTGGACTGTTGTGTCTGTTGACTTGTCCAGGCAATGGTTTGTTCCTTGGCGGTTTTCACAGCGTGTCTGTGCAAACGCAACAACAGGGATGGAGTCCCTGTTCCGGGGTCACGGGCTCCCAGGCCGGAAGGACACAGGGGCCTTGTCACTCTCATTTCCTTTCCAAGCTTCCAGCCCAGCCACCAGGACAAGGGGAGCAGGCAGGGCAGGACGGGCTGCCCCCAGCCCTCTCTGTGTCCCAGCCTGGTCAGCAGCCCAGGACGAGGCTGCCCCACCCTGAGCCCCACGACCGTGCCTGTGCAGCCTCCACCCTGCTTGTGAAGGGGGGTGGGATGTGTGTGGGGGGTGGGGGACTCACCATGCAGGGACTGGGAGGGACTTCTCACACTAGCTGCCCTTCAGCACCCATCTCCCACTGCCCCTCACCGGCCGCCTAGCCACATGCCCATGTCTCCCCACTGGCTGGGACTCTGTAAGGGAACACGGTTTCCCCACCTGCAGGGAAGCCGGAGCCAGGCCGCCCTCCCTTCCACTCATCCTGTGGGATATGTGGGCCCTGCTATTGTGGGAGCCCCCATTTCTAGGCTGTGTGGGTCACTCCTTGGGGAGAGGAGGCTCTGTGGGCGCCCACAGCCGTCGGACCCGGGAGGCGTCTCTTTCCCTCCCATTGCTGTTTAATTGTGACACTCGTTACCTTATTCTGGTTTTTATTTTATAAACCGTTTTGAAAAATGATTTCATCTAATAGGAGACATCAGATGAAATTTCTTTTCCTTTCTAGCTGGCTGCTTCGCGCTTCACCCTGATATTTTCACTGTGTTTTCCGCTTTTGAGGTTTACCTCTGGTTTCAATTGCTTTTCTGTCTTTACAATATCCACCATGGTTTGCTTTTCTCTTTTCTACTTTCATTTGCTGTTATGAAAAATATACATCCCGTTTCTAAGTGTACAAATAAATAGCTTTTAAGTTTACCTTTATGTAAACTTATCTTTGCGTAAGACAGTGTCTCAGTCCGTTGGGGCTGATAAAACAAATTGCCAGGGACTTCGAGGACTTGAGCATTTCTTTCTCCCAGTGCTGGAGGCTGGAAGTCCAGGATCAGGCAGGGTGCCACATGGTGGGGTTCTGGAGAGGGTGCTCTTCCTGGTCTACAGACAGCCACCTTCCTGCTGTCCTCGCGTGACAGAGAGAATCTCTTCAGGGTTTCCTCTCTAAAGGGCACAAATCCCATTCTTGACCTAATTACCTCCCAAAGGCCCCACCTCTTAACACCATCATATTGGAATTAGGGTCTCAAGGTGTGAATTTTGGGAGGACACAATCATTCCGTCCATAACAATCGCCTTGCCATCTGCCATATTCCTTAAGTATTTTTTCCAAGAGGGCTACCTGGGTGGAGTGCTTTCTAAGCTCTTGCTTTTATGAAAATACATCGCTGTTATCTTTATTTGAGAAAGGTGTAATAATTTGAAAAAAGGAAAATAGAGCCTTAGTCCACCAAAGCTTCCCCTGGAAGCTCTGAGGATGTTGCCATATCCTGGTCAGTGGGACAGGGGTCTAAGGTCAGCCTGATGCGGTTCATTTCCAGATTGGATGTTACTCGTCCTGCATGTGAGGGACTGTTGTTACCTCTTCTAAGTTTACAAACGTGCCAATGCAGTTCTGGGGGGGGGGGGGCTCCAAAGGCCTGCTTTTCTTGGAATTCACTGTTTTTCTACTCCAAATACACACACCTCTGTTCATTCAGCCCAGAATAGCAGATCTTCAATTACGTCTGTGATTATTGTTTTGAACCTATTTGTGTTTTTCTCCTCAGCGATCGAATTTTCATGTTTGGTTTTCGATAAATACACACCCTGTGTGTTATCTTTTCCCTCATTATATTTGTCGGTTTATCTTTTTCCTTGGTGTTTGAAGAACTACTCATGTTTGGTCTTAAAACCGTTGCATCGATTCTCTGTGGTATTAGCTTTGCTCTTCTACCTCTGATGTGAATTTTTTTTTTTGAGACGGAGTTTCGCTCTTGTTACCCAGGCTGGAGTGCAATGGCGCGGTCTCAGCTCACCACAACCTCCGCCTCCTGGGTTCAGGCAATTCTCCTGCCTCAGCCTCCTGAGTAGCTGGGATTACAGGCACGTGCCACCACGCCCAGCTAATTTTTTGTATTTTTAGTTGAGACGGAGTTTCACCATGTTGACCAGGATGGTCTCGATCTCTCGACCTCGTGATCCACCCACCTCGGCCTCCCAAAGTGCTGGGATTACAGGCTTGAGCCACCGCGCCCGGCCTTGATGTGAATTTTTAATCCAGCTGTTCAGTATGAAATTTGGTAATGAAGATTTGCTGACCTTCATCTTCAACATCTGTTTGGAATCAGAGACGCCCTGGTGAGGATGTAGATCCTATGTGCTGACTGGCTGGCTTCTATTCCTGGTTCTGTCACTTTTCCTGTGTGACCTTGAGCGGACTGCTCAGCCTCTCTGTGCTGAGGCTTCCGTATCTGTCCATTGTAACTTCGACAAGGAGTTGATGCCAGAGTGAAGTGAGTTAATAGATGCCAAGTGCTTGGAATCCTGCCTGGCATAGCCCGTGCTTGGCAAATGCTCTCACTTCACCAGCTTCATCATCAGGGCTACTGTAGGGGTCATTATCTAAGATGGCTGAAGCTGTCGCTACAGTCGCATACTATAACTTGGGGCTCCTGGTCTGTGGGCCGATCCCCCCCATCCCCCACTAGGGAATGCAGCCGCCTCAGTTTTGCGTTGGCGCTGGCCCTGGCTCCCAGGCTGACCGCGACGTGTCTTCATGAGACGTTCCTGTGGGGAGCTGAGTCTTCGCGGACAGCACCCTTGAGAGCCCGGAGGGGCTTGTGTGACAACAGCTGTGGGGCGCGGAGTGACTGGCACGTGCAGGAGGCCAGATTCCGACGGAGTTTCCATTGCAGTGGCGAGGCGGGTGCGCAGGCAGCGGCTGTGGGGGGCTATGAGTTTAGCGCATCCCAGGCTGCTGCAGGCTTGTTCTCAGCTGAAAGAGGCTGGAAGGACGCTGGGAGAGGTTTTCGGTTCCTGATGAGAACTAGCCTCAGGCCTGCGAGACAGAGGAGCTCACCTGTGCCCGTCCCTGCCCCGGGATCAGGGCCTGTCCTGCCCGATGACCTCCCAGGCACAGGCTGGCTTTGCCCACCCCGAGTGTCCTCCAGTCTCCATGCGACCCTCACTCCATACCCGCCCCTAGGGCAGAGGCTCCTCCCCGCCCTCGGGCCATGACCTATGCCCACCCCTCTCAGGACACCTGACCAGGGCTCCAGGGGACCGTGGTTCAGACCCAAAGGCCAGTCCCCAGACCTTGTCCTCCCAATGAGCTGCCTGTCCAGAAGCCTTGCCGGAACGTTCCGTCTCCCTCTCAGGGGAGGGAAGGTCCTTCCTGTCCTCCTGCCCTTGGCAGACATCAGGAGCTCAGAAGATCCCGGAGCCCCCCAGGAAGCGCTGTCCTCAAGCGACTTTTCCCTACACAGGCACCTCTTTCCTGGCTCTCCCAATCCCAGCCAGGCCAGCCTGCCCCTTGAGGCCCCTGCAGACAGAGGCTGGGCATCCCCTGGGCCCAGAGACCACGCTGGGGACAGTCGCGGGACCTGGCAGGTGGAAGTCAGCAGGGCAGCCCCAGAGACGCTGCACCTCCCCCCCCCCGGTGTCCCAGGGCCAGGCTCAGCCAGGGGCACCGGCCCTGCCCGAGTCAGCCAAGTGTGAGGAGCAGAGTGAGGACAAGTCACAGCAAGGGAAGCAGAAATAATGAGGGTCCTCCCAGCAGCAAACACCAACACGGAAGGCGTTGCTGAGTCTCGTGCTGGGGAAAACACAGGCGCCCGGCGTATAAAAGCCCCAGAGCCCGGCAGCTGACAGGCTCGCACACTCACACACTCACTCACACACTCACACCTCCCCCACCTCCTCCACACCCCAGCATGGCCGCGTCCACCATGTCCGTCTGCTCCAGCGCTTGCTCCGACTCCTGGCAGGTGGACGACTGCCCAGAGAGCTGCTGCCAGCCCCCCTGCTGCGCCCCCAGCTGCTGCGCCCCGGCGCCCTGCCTGACCCTGGTCTGCACCCCGGCGAGCTGTGTGTCCAGCCCCTGCTGCCAGGTGGCCTGTGAGCCCAGCCCCTGCCAATCAGGCTGCACCAGCTCCTGCACACCCTCATGCTGCCAGCAGTCTAGCTGCCAGCCAGCTTGCTGCACCTCCTCCCCCTGCCAGCAGGCCTGCTGTGTGCCCATCTGCTGCAAGCCCGTCTGCTGTGTGCCTGTCTGCTCTGGGGCTTCCTCTCTGTGCTGCCAGCAGTCTAGCTGCCAGCCGGCATGCTGCATCTCCTCCTGCTGCAGACCCTCCTCCTCCATGTCCCTGCTCTGCAGCCCTGTGTGCAGGCCTGCCTGCTGCGTGCCCGTCCCCTCCTGCTGTGCCCCCGCCTCCTCCTGCCAGCCCAGCTGCTGCCGCCCGGCCTCCTGCGTGTCCCTCCTCTGCCGCCCCGCGTGCTCCCGCCCCACCTGTTGAAGATTCTCAGGCCAGAAGTCCAGCTGCTGATGGCCACGTCTCCCAGGGCCCGCTGGTCTCAGACGTCACCTCCCTGCCAGTCCTTAGAAGCCCCTGACCTCCCAGCCCAGCCAGCCCCAGCGCAGCTCAACCGCAGAGAAGGAACAGCCCCTCCCACCGCCGCCCAGCCTGGGGTGGGGTCTGAGATGCTCACTGGCTGCTCTTCACTATGCTTCCCGGCTGCAGGCCACGACCCTCCGCTGCGGGGGACGGGCCTCCTGACCCGGGTCTCGCACCCAGGAGTGTCCCCCTGTGCTTCTGAGCACCAATAAAGCTGCTGCGGCCCCACGCTGACTCTGTGCTGACTCTGGCGCACCCAGGGCGGGAGGGGACAGTGCGGGACCTGGCCTGGCTCTGGGGGGCTGGGCCCTGATCTCTTTACATCCCCTGCTGGGGTGCTGCGGGGGCTCTTGTGAGACCTGGAAGCTCCTGCCCAACTCGCGGCATGTTCTGCTCTCCTGCTGCCCTCCCAGGTCCTGTGGGGCCAAAAGCCTTGCTCACGGGCTGAGTCCCAGGGGCCCCGCATGGCTCCGGCCAGCACCCCTCTCACTGTGGGTGGAAGCAGCTCCTCCCACGGTGAGGGGCGCGGCTGTCCAGGGGGTGGCAGGCCCTAGCTGTGCTGGGAGGTGGGAGACGAGGGTGGGTGGGAACTTGGGCTCCAGCTATCCCGGCGCTCAGGGAGTTCCATCGGGGAAGCCTGGGCACCCTGGCCTCCTGTGCGCACCCACAGCCGCTCAGGGACACCCTCCGCCCCAGCCCAGGGCTTGTCGCTGGGATGCAGAGCAGGGGACAGAGCCAAGGCCTCCGGAGCGCCCTGTGCTGGGCTGGGGGGCGGAGGGCCATGGGAACAGGAAGACCCCGACGGCAGAGGAAGCAGGGACCGCGTGGGAGCTCATGCAGACTAGAGGGCGAGGGAAACACATGGACACACAGGTCCAGATGCGCCGGACAAGCTTTCAAACGGGATCGAGCACATCTGAGACTCCTAGGAATGCAACTGCAGGCAAGGGACGCTGGAGAGCTGTGACCGTCACCACGTTGCCCGCAAGAGGCCCTGAGTCTATTTCCCAACAGTCACAACACGGGGGCCACATCCTTCTTCTTCTTCTTTTTTTGCCAATTGGATTAGCAAAAATATTTTCTCGTGGTTTTCTTCAGCAAGGTGCACGGCGTTCCAACGTGCCCACCCGCTGCACCTGGTGGATGCAGCAGCAGGTGGATGGCACCGACTGTCTCTCCAGCTGCTCATGATTACAGAGAACGCCTCTGTGGGTGTTCCCACCATACACCTTCCCACACTCAGGTACGTGTGTGCCTCAATTCCCAGGAGCGGCAATGCTAGCGCGGGGTGTTCATGGATTTTGAATTCACAGAGATGCTGAGAACTGCCCGCAAAAGATTGTCCCAAATTGTGCCTGCGAAGACCGGAGAAAGTGGTGCAGAGAGGAGCTGTGAGGGCCTGTCCCTCCGCGGAACGTCAGAAACGGGAAACCCGAACAGATGAACACACCACGCCCAGCCAGCATTTCCTTGCCCTGAAGGTGTATTTCCAGGAATCTGTTCTCAGATTTGTTCCATCCTGCTTGAAACTGTCTGGCTACATCTGCACACGTGGTCATGTGTTCTCCCACGCTCTGGTTTGGACGTGGTCCCACGGTGTCCTGGGCTTCCTCCACCATCGCTTCCCCAAGACCTGCCCGTCCCCACCTGCCATCCGTCCATCCAGCCAAACAAAGGGGGCTGGAGTTCAGTTTTATCTGGAAAATGGTGGAAGGTTTGCAGCAGGCAAGGGAACATACAAGGAAGTAGAAGCAGCAGAACCCAACGGAGCGACTGTGGATTTTAACCTCCCCCTGCCCCACCCCCATCTTCAACTGGGTGACAGTCAGGAAGACGGCAGCCAGAGTTCCTGGTGTGGGGCGCTGCTGCCAGGGAAGCAGAGGGGGCCTTGTTTGCAAGGCAGTGTGGTTGTCTGTTTCCACCGTCTTGTGGCTCCCTGAAGGACTAACACACAGGGCTTGCCTTATTTCAGACTCAGACTCGGGCAGAGAGCAGCTACACAGAGGCTTGGTCAGAACATTAAACAGTTACTGTCACCTGGGGCCAAGGATATCAGCTAGAAAACACTGGACACATGCCAAAAGTCTGGAAGGAAAAGCTGGGAGATGACATGCTTTGAGGAATAAGGGTGTTGGGAGATTCCACATATTCTTGGGAGTCCAGAAGCCCCTGTGCGTGTCCATGATAGGGCAGAGGCTCAGAAAAACCTGAGAAGCTCTCAGTGCTCACCTCTGGCTGAACTTCAGGCTCTGAGCAAGCAGGAAGTGAAGGTGCAACAGGACGTGAAGGGGAAGGCAGAGCCACAAACTCCCCAGCTGAGTGCTGAGGGTGTGGACCAACACACCAGAGACAAGCTGCAAACCCGGCAGAAAAATATTTCTTCATTCCAGGGGTTTAAGTAACTCTTTGTCAAATTACTATCTGAGCACTAAGCTAATAGAACATGAGCACACATGATGAGGAAACTATTTTTTTAAGTGACATAAACAAACAAAAACAACCACAATCTACAGCAATCAGCAACAGCAAACTGTGCAGAGGGAGGAGAAACTGATACCCAGAAATCTTCCATTGTAATAGTCACTGTCCAGTTTTCACCAGAGGCATGTGCCATGCAAAGCAGCAAGAAATATGAGCTGCTCATGAGGGGAAAGCAATTAATAGAAAATCTTCCTGAGGAAGCCCAGAATTGGACTTACTAGACAAAGCCTTTCAATCAACTCTCTTAAACATGTTCAAAAAACTAAATAAAATCACAAAGAATGAAGATAAACCAGGAGAATGATGCCTCACCAAATAGAGAATATCAATAAAGAGGAGGAATTTAAAAAACAAACGAAACAAATTCTGGAACTGAAAAGTACAACAACTGAAATAAATATCTCAGGATAAGGTTTAAACAGCAGATTTTGTCCTGTGGAAGAATTAGTGAACGTGAAGATAGATGAGTTAACATGCTCTAGTCTGAGGAGTAGCTGAGATACAGGGGAGTAGATGTGAGAATGGAGAAAAATGAACAATCTTAGAGGACCTGTGGGACACCATCAAGCACAGCAACACAGTTAACCAGATTTGCAGATGGAGGGGAGACAGAGGGAGCAGAAAACATAATTAAAGAGATAATGGCCAAAAAACACGTCAATCTACACATTCAAGCCACTCAGTGAACTCCAAGTAAAATAAACTCAGACAGTCACACAAAAACACAGTGTAACTGAACTCTCAAAAGTCAGAGCAGAGAATCTAAAAAGCAGCTGGACAGAAGACTAACAGCAGATTTCTCATCAGAAACCATGGAGGCCAGAAGGCATTGGGACAACATATGTAACATGCTGGCTTGGGGTACAGGGACGGGGGGCAACCAACAACCAAAAAGATATCAGCATCTGACAAAATTATCCTTCAAAAATGAAACAGAAAGTGACACATTTCAAGGTAAATAAAACCTGAGAGCGCACACTGTCCATAGACTTGCCTTACAAGAAACGCTAATTCAGACGGAGGTAAAAGGGCACTAGACAGTAACCTGGAGCCACATGAGGGCAAGGTAGCCATGTTGGTAGTTTGTGTGCTTATAAGAATTTTTCCATCACATATCGGTTATCTAATTTGTTGGTGGACAAATTTTCATAGTATTCCTTATAATCCTTTTTATTAATATAAGGTCAGTAGTGATGTTCCCATTTTCATTTACAATTTTAATTATTAGAATCTGCCATCTTTTAATAAATCTAGATAAAGATTTGCCAAACATGTTGCTCTTCTCAGAAACCCAACTTTGGGGTTCATGGATTCTATTGATTTTTTATTTTCTATTCCATTTTTCTGTGCTCTAGACTTTATTTCCACCTTCTGCTAAATTTGGATTTAGTTTGCTCTTCTTTGTCTAGTTCCTTAAGGTGAAAAATTAGATGAATGATTTGAGATCTTCCTATTTTTTAAAAAATGTAAGCATTCAGTTATCAATTTCCCTTTCTATACTGCTTTCACCAAATCTCATAAGGTTTTGTTTGCTCTGTTTTCTATTCATCTCAAAGTATTTTCTATCTTCTCTTTAAGTTCTCCTTTGACTCACTGGTAGTTTGAGAGTGTGCCATTTAATACACACATATTTGTGAATTCCAGTTTTTCTTCTGTTGTTTTCTAATTCTTTCCATTATAATCAGAAAAAACAGTTTGTATATGTTCAATCACTTTAAATTATTAAGACTAGTTTTGTGGCCTAAGATATAGTCTAATTTGGCAACTGTTCCATGTGAACTTGAGAAGAATGTGTTGTCTGCTACTGTTGGGTTGGGTGTTTTTGTGTAGATGTTAGACCAGTTTATGGGTTCTTTAAGTCCTCTATTTCTTCACTGAATATCAACTTAATTCTATTTAATTTTTTTGATTACAGAAAATGGCTCACTGGAGTCTCTAACTCTGTGGAAGTTGGACTGCCCACTTCTTTCTTCAAGTCTGTCCATTTTTGTTTCACATACTTTCGTGATTTGATGTTAGATATGTGTGTATTTACAGTTGGTGTATCTTCTTGATGGATTCACTTTAATCACTACTTAATGTCCTGTGGGCCCAGCTCCTGCTCATCAGTCTGCACTAGTTTCTGCCTGACAGTGGCTTCCTCATTTGCCACCTTTCCTAGCCATTCTCCCAGCCAGGCCACTGTGTCTTCACGTCACACTCGTGTGACCCCCTGGGCAGCACACACCATTCCTCAGTTGCTCTCACTAGAGATTAGTACTTCAGGCCCCACTTCCTAAGGTCTGGAAAATTATGGTGCCCTAATAAAACAAGCTGAGAAATTTAAGACTAGCATTATTTCTCTCCCAATTAGTTGAGAACATTCTGTGCTGAAAGTATTTGCGTCCATAGTTTGCTTTGTAGAATGGCTTTTAATCTTTGGTATGTTTAATCAATATGATATATTTAGGATTTTCCTTTTGTTGGATTCTGTCTTGACAAATATAGACAGTTGTGTCTCCACCAAACACAATCAATACATAGACTCCTCTCATCATCCCACAAATCTCCCTCATGCCCCTTAGTAGTCATTTCACATCCCCACCCTAACTCCTAGCAGGCACTGATTTTTTTTTTGTTTTATTATTATTATTACCATTGCCATAATATCACATCTACAGAATCCCACAGTGTTTAGCATTTTGCCATATATGATTTAAGTAGGCCCTTCACTAAAGAGCAGATACAGATGGCAAATAAACACATGAAAACATGTTCCACATTTTGAGTCATCAGGACAATACAAACTTAAACCCCAGTGAACTCTATACAGCTGTGTTGACTGAAGTAAAAATACATCTGCTGTGCAGGACTGTCCAGAATGTGGGGCTTTGTGGATATGTTTGAGTTCAAACCTCCCATCTCACTTGGGTTTTTGCTTATACAAGGAATCTACTCCTTTTTATCTCCTTGCTTTACTGTTTTTGGATTGTTTTGAGGTTTTTTATTTTTTATTTTTTCATTTTCCCTTCACTACATTGGTTCCTAGTGCTGCCACAGCTAATTACAGCAAGAGAGTGAAAACCACAGAAAAGTATTCTCTCATAGTCCTGAGGGTCAGGCACCTGAAATGAAGCTTTCCACAGGGCCATGCTTTCTCTGAGCTCCAAGGGAGAGTCTGTCCTTGCCCCTTCTAGCTTCTGGTGGCACCCAGCAAACCTTGATGTCCCTTGGCTAATACTCTTTGCCTCTATTGTCATATCATCTTTTTCCCTTTGTGTGTATGTCTGAACTTCCTTCTCCTTTCTCTGGTAAAGACACTAGACATTGGATTTGAGGTTCACTATGATCTTGTATGACTTAGCTAATTATATCTGCAAATACCTTATTTCCATATAAGGTCATTCCATATAAGGTCACATTGTGAGGTTCTGGGGGGATATGACTTTTGGGGAGGCATAATTCAACCAGGTACATGCATCTACTTCCTAGTGAGTTGAACATTCTTTTGTTATTATACTGGGGATTATAACATGAATCCATGACTTTTTAAAGTCTAATGTAAATTAGACCTTATATTATTTTCAGATGGTGCAGTGTGCTTAAGCCACTTTAACTCCATGTATCTTCTTCCGAATTTTGTATTCTTGCCATGTATTTTATTTCTATAAATATTTCACAACTTACCTTTTACACAGTCAACATTCATTTGATTTCCCATGTGTTCTTCTTTCATTGCACTTAATTTCCTTATCAACTTCTTGCTTTCATCTGTGATCGCTTTTGTTCTGCCTAATGCTCCCTTTTGTATTTTCTTTAGTGCAGATCCTTCTGGTGACACATTCTCCCAGGGTCCAGAAGAGGTCAGTATTCTGTTCTCATTTGGGGGAATCTTCTTCCCAGGTATACAGTTCTAGCTTTGTGCGCCTTTTCTTTCCGACAGTAAATGTATCACTCCATTGTCCTCCACCTTCCATCATTTCCACTGAGAAGTCATCTGTAAATGTTATCGTTGCTTCTTTGAAGGTAATATGCCTTTTTTTCCTCTGGCTGTTTTTAAATGTTCTCAGTCTTTGGAGTTCAGCTCCAGTGTGCCCAGGTGTGGTTTTCTTTGTATTCCCTTGCTAAAGATTCTTAATTTGGGGAAGGTTCCTTTTTTTCTTTTTCTTTCTTTCTTGTGCTTGTCTATTATGTCTTCAAATATTTTACTAACCCTATTTTACTCCTCCCTTGTAGGATTTCAAGGCATGTTTATTGCTCCACTTTTTCATGTCTGTCTTTTCTTCCCTGTCTCTATGCAGGTCTGACATTTCCTCATCTCCCTCCCTTTACCAATCTTCTCTGTAGTTTTGTTTCTATGTTGTTAAGCTAAGCTACTTAGGTCTTAATTTCAGCTGATGAGTTCTGTGTTTCCAGAATTTCTGATTCCATTTAATAAATCCAGTTTGACACTAAAATTCTCCATTTGTCCTCTATTTTCTTAAGCAAGTTGATCAGCATTACTTTGAATTCAGTTTCAGAATCCTAACATCCAGATCTCCTGCACATCTGTTGCTCTTGATGGCTTTTTCCTCTTGGTCCTTTGGTCAATCCATCTTGTCTTCTAGTATCCCCAGTAATTTTTGACTGAATGACGGACTTTATGAAAATTTGTCAGATTATTTGAGCCTCTGTTGATGCTGCTGTCTCCAGAGGCGATCACTTTTGTTTCTGGGGTCAGTTAGGCTACGGACAGACCATATGAGTTCAATATGAGCCGATTTACAGATGGGCTGCATTCTTCCTTCTGGTTGTTCCTTCCTCCTAGGGAGGAGCCCTTCACTTATGTTCAGTATTTCCACCTGAAAGCCTGCGGTTTTTTTTTACTGGAATCCCTCCACCTTGTCAGGTCCTGAACTCCGTGTTTTTTCTTCTAATTTCATTAGACTACTAAAAGCTCTGCTCAGCTGGACTGCCTCTCGTCCTCTTGACTGTGGCCTGTGAATCAGTGAACGCCTCAATACGAAAATCTGCAAAGAATTTTGAACTCACTTCTGTGCAGTTTCTCTCTAATGGGGATTCACTCACTCAGATCTCAGCCGTCTTGACACCTCCTGGCCCCTTTGAACAGAGATTTTGTTTGTAAACCAGATTTCTAATTTTTCTCAGCTAGATGGCCACCTGCTGTAAGCCAGTTCTCACCACACAGAAGCAGAACGTGACAGAGCATTTTACGCAGCATGAGAGAAAGGTGGCACAATCGAATCATTTTCAGGGCTCAGAATTACTCTTCAATAGCTTCCCCCAAAAAGTGTATTATTTCAGCCCATCTTTATAAAGGCTCTTCCTGTGCCAGGCAGTATTCTAGGCCTTTGAAGACTGAGTGGTGAACAGGACACAGTCCCTGCTCATGTGAAGCTCACGTTTGGAGAACGGGAGCTGAGGTCAGCAAGGACAATGAGCAGGGACAGGGAACAGACACGGCACAGACACCCTGATGACACCAGGCGCAGGGCTCAGGCCTGCCACCCCAGCTCTTTGGCCAAGGCAGGAGGATCACTTGAGACCCCATCTGCACAAAAAAATTTAAGAGATACTGATAACGTGACTCGAATTATCTATTACTGAAGCACATCATAAAGTGATGGCCTTTAAGAGCAGAACGAAATCCATTCCCAAAATGGACCAGTTCAAATCTCTTCTCTCCTATCTGAAACCCAGTCCTGTCCCCAGCGTTCCCACACGCAAGTCTGAGTGGCTCAGGGAAGGCCGTGGGGAGGGACGTGGCCTCTCCTTCCCTGCTCCTCCTCTCCCTGTTTTGGGCTCTAACTCTCCAGTGACAGGGACGGGAAGGAGTGTGCAGGGTCACCATGTGGGGCTCACTGGCCACTGCTGCCCCTTCTCTCCACATGCTCCAGTGCTCCCATCTTCTACCCACTGCTCCTGCCTCTTCAGTGAGGACCCGCTTTAGGGAGGAGATGCCCCCATCATCGTGAGTGGGACAGCTCTCGCTTGGGATGCCACACTTTGCATAAGCCTGAAGGGTCACCCCGGCCTCCACAGCCCCCTTCTTCCAGCCGGGGCTGCACTAGTGGGTGCTGGGACCAGGCCCACCTTCACTCTTGCCTCAGGGATCCACATGGCACAGGCCACAGCCCAGACCTGACGGGAGATTTATGAGCTGGGCCACATTACAGGCAAACACACATCCCTAATCATGACAGACGCTTCCTTTCAGCAACAAGGAAGGGGAGGCTGGGGGCCTGGGATAACAAGGCCAGGAGGGGTATAAAAGCCTGAGAGCCCCAAGCACCTCGCACACTCACACACTCACACTCACTCACTCACACCTCCCCCAGCTCACCTCCTCCACACCCCAGCATGGCCACGTCCACCATGTCCGTCTGCTCCAGCGCTTGCTCCGACTCCTGGCAGGCGGACGACTGCCCAGAGAGCTGCTGCCAGCCCCCCTGCTGTGCCCCCAGCTGCTGCACCCCGGCCCCCTGCCTGACCCTGATCTGTACCCCAATGAGCTGTGTTTCCAGCCCCTGCTGCCAGGCTGCCTGTGAGCCCAGCCCCTGCCAATCAGGCTGCACCAGCTCCTGCACACCCTCGTGCTGCCAGCAGTCTAGCTGCCAGCCAGCTTGCTGCGCCTCTTCCTCTTGCCAGCAGGCCTGCTGTGTGCCCATCTGCTGCAAGTCCGTGTGCTGTGGGCCCACTTGCTGTGAGACTTCGTTATGCTGTCAGCAGTCTAGCTGCCAGCTGGCTTGCTGCACCTCCTCCCCCTGCCAGCAGGCCTGCTGTGTGCCCGTCTGCTGCAAGTCTGTCTGCTGTGTGCCCACCTGCTGCAAGTCTGTGTGCTGTGTGCCCATCTGCTCTGGGGCTTCCTCTCTGTGCTGCCAGCAGTCTAGCTGCCAGCCAGCTTGCTGTACCTCCTCCCCGTGCCAGCAGGCCTGCTGTGTGCCTGTCTGCTGCAAGCCCCTCTGCTGCAAGCCCCTCTGCTGCAAGACCGTCTGCTGTGTGCCCGTCTGCTCTGGGGCTTCCTCTTCATGCTGCCAGCAGTCTAGCTGCCAGCCGGCTTGCTGTACCTCCTCTTGCTGCAGACCCTCCTCCTCCGTGTCCCTGCTCTGCCGCCCCGTGTGCAGGCCTGCCTGCTGCGTGCGCGTCCCCTCCTGCTGTGCCCCCGCCTCCTCCTGCTGTGCCCCTGCCTCCTCCTGCTGTGCCCCCGCCTCCTCCTGCCAGCCCAGCTGCTGCCGCCCGGCCTCCTGCGTGTCCCTCCTCTGCCGCCCCGCGTGCTCCCGCCTGGCCTGCTGAGGCCTCTGCTCAGGCCAGGAGTCCAGCTGCTGCTGGGCACTTCCCCCAGGCCCAACCAGGCTCAGGTCTTGATCTGGCTTAGGTGGCTGCCCCCACCTGGGGACAGGTCCCCATGTCTCCCCTGTGCTGAGGTGACCACCCTCCTTGCTCCCAGGAGCCCCATCCTCGCTGCTCCCCAGCTGCTGCCTCCCAGCACTTACCCACCTGCCTGCTGGGCCCCCGTCCTCCCTCCCAGCTTCTCTGTCCCGGGTCATTTGGCCTCGACCTGAGCCTGTCAGCACCTCTTCCTGCTCCCAATAAACTCTCCTTGGTTACCAGATTCTCTCCTGTGTGCTCCTGGTGGGGGGACACATGGTTTGAGCTGACATCGGTCTCCTCCAGCCATGACTCTTTCTAGGAATGAGTGACTTAACCTAGAAGTCACAAGAACAGTGGCCTAACTCCTCCAGGGGGTCACCAGGTGGGACTCACAGCCACACCAGGAAGGCTCAGTCCCGGCTCAGCCCCCATGCCTGGGTCTTCCTGAGCCTGGTCATTCGCTGCCCTGCGCTGGGCCGTGGGGCTCTCCAGGCCCCAGGACCGCTGCACCCACTGTCCCACCTGGGCGAGCCCACCCTGTAGAGTCAGCTGCCGGGAATCCGGCCTGGGATGCCCGCGCCGCAGCCTCCGGGCCTGGTCACCCTCCCTGTGTGCCGCCCCCTAAGGTTCTGCCCATTTAGCAGAAACGAGAGGGGAGAGTGAGGGGCGGCTGCACCTGCGTGGGAGACAGGGGCCTCGGTGGGGCTCAGTGGGGACATGGAAGGGGCAGAGGGACGCATAGGATGCTCCCAGGGACTCAGTGGGGACAGGAGCATCATGAGGGTGGGGAGGGACACGCAGGATTCCACTGCCCAGCTTGTCCTTTGGGGGGACCAGGCTCCATGGGGTATAGGGATGAGGAGCCGGGACTCCTGCAGATGACCCAGGGTGGGCACAGTCAGCGATGCCCCCCATCTCTCTAGGCTTGGTCCATGCGGGGAGCATGAGCTGCCTGTGATGTCCTGTGGGAAAGGCCATCAGTAGGGACGGTGGTGACATCAGGCCACGCATGGGGCTCCGCCACCAGGGGTGGGCGCAGGGCAGTGAGCCCTCCGTCTGTGAGACCAGCTCCTGCAGGCCAGCTGCAGAGACCAAAACCCTGACGTGAATGCCCGCCCCGGGATGCTCAGACGTCCACAGCCCGGTGGATGTGGTGCTGCCATGGCTGTGGTCAGAACGGGTGCAGGAACACCAGAGAACGCGGCCTGGAGCCCAGGGGGAGGCCCCGCGTGGTGCCGCCCAGTGCCCTCAGTGGCTCGGCTCTCAGCTCCCTGCCCTCCGCGCCGACGGCTGCCAGGAACGTCCACTGCCTAAGCGCACGGCCGCCACACTGCTTCCCGGGCACATTCCTCGCCCGTTTCCTATCACGCTCTTGGTGTTTTTCTTGCAGATTTAGGGCTCGGGATCCTCTGTCCATCACATGCACTCCAGATATTTGTAACCCATCACTGCTTCTGTACCGCACAGTCCCTGAGACTGGAAGCCGGTCTAAGTGTGCTGATGCTGGTTCCTTGTTATTGCTCAGATTTAACTTTTGCCTCATTTGCTGATAAGACTTGTGTGAGGTGCGACGCATTAACCTTTCTCTTCCACCAAAAGCCAACTGTCCTCTTTAAAAGTGAGTTTATTCTCTCCATCTCCCATCTGAAGCATCTCTTTTGCCTGGTAAAAACGGTGGCATAGTCTACTTCTGAAATCTGTATTTTGTTCCATTCATCTCTTGATCTGTCCGTGCACCCACTCCAGACGTTTTATCCGTGTTACTCAGCTTCGTAACACATCCTAGCAGCTCGTAAGGAAGGCGCCGCTTCCTCATTTTTTAAAAACATTGGTTCTAGCTTGTATATATACTCTCCTCACTTAATTTTAGAAAGCTTTTCAAGTATTTTTAAAACTGCTGCAATTTTGATTGGGATTGCATTGAGCTTTTAAATATTTAGGAGGAAACTATAATTTTTAATATTGCCTTCCAGTTACATAGTGAAATTGGTCCATTTAGAATTTTATCATTTTCTTCTACAGGTCTAAAATATTCCTATTTGGATTAACTCCTAGGTGTTTCAGAGGCATGTTTTACCAGTGGAAGTGGGGGGCAGTTTTCTATTACGTTGTCTTAGCATATAAATCTTCAATATAATACGTGTCTGTGTAAATTATTCACACATACGCTGTCTTCCCATCAAGCCATGTTTAGCCCCTGACCTTTGCAAGTCCTTTTAGTAGTTCTTACGATTTGTCATTGATTGTCTTGGCGTTTTCTCTGCAGATGAGCTCATCGTTTGAAAATAAGGAGAATTTAACTTCTTATTTCCAGCCTTTACAACTCCCGCTTCTATTGTTTCTTTTGTCGCAACATTACTTTGAACACCCAGAATGATGCTGAATAAATTAAGAGAATCCCTAACGGTTTCTGCTTCTGTGAGAAGGAGTCACAGGCTCACCAGTGCACGTGTGGTTTGCTGTGGGCTTCGGGTAGAAACCTTTTATTTTTAAACCACATCTTTCTATTTCTTTTTTTGCTGTGAATTTTCACTTATTAGAATCAATAAGGAATGTTTTGAGGGGGATGGGTGGATTTTAGAGATGTGTGGTGCCTGAGGCGGAGTTTCTAAATCTCCCTAAATCCCAAATAGAAACAGCCAGAATCCACAATGTACATGAGGCCTCACTCTTGGTGTGACCCACATTATGTGGGTTTGGGCAAAGGTGTAATGACACGGTTTTGCTGTTAAAGCATCACACAGAGTTTCACTGCCCGAAAGATCCTCTGTGCTCTGCCCAGTCGTCCCTCCCTCTCCTCTGCCCTTGGCAACCACTGATCTTTTCAGTCTTCATAGTTTGGCCTTTTCCAGAAAGTCATGTGTTTGGAATCACACAGTACGTAGCCTGTTTGGATTAATTTATGTCACTTAATAATATGCATTTAAGGTTTTTCCATACCTTTTCATGACTTAATAGCCTGTTTCTTTTTAGCATTGAGTAGTAACCCACTGTCTGGATGCAGCACGGTTGATTTATCCATCTGCCTACTGAAGGGTATCTCAGCTGCATCCAAGATCTGTCAGCTATTCATAAAGCTGCTAGAAACACCTTTGAACAGGCTTTTGTGTAGACCTAAGTTTTTTAACTCATTTGGGTAAATACCAAGGAGCATAATTGCTGGATCCTAAGAGTATTTTTTGTTCTGTAAGAAACCACGAAACTGTCCTCCAAAGTGGCGGTGCCCTCTTGCATTCCCACCGGCACTGAACGGGGGCTCCCGCCGCTCCTTGTCCTGATCAGCATTTGGTGCTGTTGGGGTTTGGGATTTTGGCCTTTCTTACAGGTGTGTCGTAGTATCTCATTATTTTAATGTTCAACTTTCTCATGACGTGGGATGTTCAGTATATTTTCACGCGCTTCTCTGCCACCTGTAAACCTTCCTTGTTGAGGTATCTGTTCAGGTCTTTTGCCCACGTTTGTAACTGGGTTGTTCATTTTCTTATTGTTGGGCTTTAAGAGTTATTTTTATATTTTGGACAACCACTTTTATCAGATATATCTTTTGCAAATATTTTTTTCCCAGCCTGTGGCTTGTCTTCTCATTATTTTGCTGTTCTATGTCAATTTTAAAGAAAGCTTCAGGCCCAGACTGTCCACTGGTGAATGTAATTATCAAAACACTTAAGAAAAAAATGAGAATTCTATGCAATCTCTTCATAAAATAGAAGACAGAACACTTCACTACTCATCTCAAGAAGTCAGCATTACTCTGACACCCAAAACAGATAAAGACATCACGTAAAAGGAAAGTACAGACCAATATCCCTGACGAATATAGACACAAAAATCCTGAACAAAATATTAGCAAGTCAAGTAGAACATGAAAAGACTAATACGTTACAACCGGATACCTCAACTGGTATCTCATACTTAATGTAAAAATTAAAATTGATCAAAGAAAAAAACACAGGGGGAAAATCTCTGTGACCTAGCATCAGGCAGATTCAATACCAAAAGCATGACCTAGAAAAGATAAAGGCTGATAAATTGGACGTTTTCAATATTAAAACTTTTATCTTCAAAAGACGCTTAAGAAAATGCAAAAGCTAGGCACTAATGGAACATATTTGCAAATCACACATCTGACCAAAGTATTTATATCCACAATATATAAAGCATCCCCAAAATTTAACATCAAGAAAACCTAATTTAAAAAGAGGGCCTATGGGCATGGTGGAATCCCAGCACTTTGGGAGGCCAAGGCGGGTGGATCACCTGAGTTCGGGAGTTCAAGACCACCACTCTGGCTGACATGATGATACCTCATCTCTACTAAAAAATATAAAAACTAGCTGGGCATGGAGGTGGGCACCTGTAATCCCAGCTACATGGGAGGCTGAGGCAGGAGAATCACTTGAACCCAGGAGGCAGAGGCTGCAGTGAGCCCAGATCGTGTCACTGCACTCCAGCCTCGGTGAGACAGTGGGACTTTTCTTTTCTCCAAAAAGAAAACAATAATAATAAAAATGAAAAAATAAAAGGGGGTCTGAAAATGTAGTGTTTCTACATTTTGCCGAAAAAGATGCACAGATGGTGAATAAGCACATGAAGGATGCTCGGTATGACTACTCATTAGGGAAACACGAATGAACGCCACAGACACCCACATGCCTGTTGGAATGGCTGCGATTCCAAAGACCGACCATGGCAAGTGCTGGCAATGAAGGGGGAGCAGAAACACCCACCCACTGTTGGTGGGAATGTAAACTACCACATCCACTCCAGCAAACACTTTGGCAAACGGGCACATTAAATATTTTGAGCACATCACTAATCACCAATTACAATGGCAATTGCAACAGTTACCACTGCACACTTATTACAACAACTAGTTTTTTGTTTTTGTGTTTTGTTTTTTTAACTTGCAATATCAAGTACTGGCAAGGATGGATGGGAACGAGAACTCTCATGCATTGCTGGCAGAAATGTAAAACAGCACTGCCACCGTGGAAAACAGTCTGGCAGTTTCTGATAAAGTTAAACAGACACTGACCATATGATCCAGGAATTCCACGCCTGGGTATTTACCCTAGAGAAACGTAACTCATTACCATGCCCAAAACTGTACACAGGCAATGTTTGTAGAAGCTTTGTTCATAATCCTCAAAACAGGAGACAAAACATCCTTCAATCATTGAATGAATAAACAAACTGGTACACCCATACAATGGAATACTGCTGAGCAATGGAAAGCAATACACAACTGATACACAGCACGATGTGGAGGAATCCCAAGCGCATTTTGCTAAGTGAAGCAAGTGGAACCTGCCAGGTGGCATACTGCATGATTTTATTCGGTATTCCACACACTGAATGCCCAAAGTACATGATATTCTAGAAGAGACATGAGTGAGGGAGGGGCTGGCCACAATGAGTCAACCCGAGGGGATTTTTGAGGGTGCTAGAATTCCTCTCTCTGGCACTGTGGTGGTAGATACAGGATTCCAGGCACTTGTCAAAATCCATGGAACTGGGGACCACTAAGGGTAAATTAAATGAAGAAGGAGAAAGAGGGGGAGGGGGAGGAGGTTGAGGGGGAGGGGGAAGAGGACGAGGAGGAGGAGGATTACTCATTGTTACTTGGTTCTATGAGGTTAAGGGAAGCAGGCGTACTTTCTCTCCCTGAAGAAGTTAACAAACTAATCTTGGCTGATTTTTTTTTTTTTGGAGGGGGGGCTTCTTTCTTGTTCTTTTTTGTATTTTACTTTCTTTGAAGTTGCTTTTTGTTTTGGGGCACCATGTGCTCTGAAGACATATTCATAGTTGCGTTGTGTGAAACTTTAATCTCCCCTACCCCAGATGATTTAGCAGCGTTCTATATTCCTAGGAACTTTCCTGCAGACTAAGACTTGGCTCAGGTGTCTTTGGACATGCAAATTTCCCAAGCTGCAGTAGGACACCCATCTCTCTGGAGGCTTTGAGGGTTTTTCTTTATGTTTGGTGTTGGAAATGCCACCAGCTTGTCTAGACGTGCACCATTCTCCATTCAATCTGTCCCATATTTGATAAAATTTCAAATCTGAAGATGCTTCTTTTCATTCCGTGCTGGAGAGTTTTCTCCTGCTGCTCCCCTTTGCGCTCTTTCTGGAAAATCTCATTTGATGAACATTAGATATTCTGGAAGAATCACGTTCTCTCACGATTGCTTCCGCATATTCCGCCTCTGTCATATTCCGCCTCTGTCCTCCGCGCTGTGTGTGGGACTTTCTGTCTCTTCCGTTAACTCCTTGTCGCCTGCCCTTCAGCCCTTCTCTGCGTGCAGTGCTTCTTCAGCTCTCGAGCAGCGCTCATCAGAAGGACCCGGCGCTGCCCTGGTGCTCGGTGCCCTGTTGCCCAGCCAGAGACACTAGGAATTCCCGTCCCCTCACCTGCAACATGACACAGTGCAGAACTTGAAAGACAGGTTGCGTGCCGAGGATACGTCTTCCCTGAAGTGTTTGCTAACAGGGATCGACACAGGCTGCAACCCTAACCGCGTATTTTACAGGCTTGGGAAATACTGTTGTGTAAATAAACGAGAACTAATGAGGACTTCCAGGACCCAGCTCAAAACTGCAACAAGGAAAGGGAAGACTCGTGGGGCCTCCAGCTAAAACAACACACGCCCTGGCCAGATATAAAAGCCCAGCTGCCCACGACACCTCAGACACTCACACACACACTCACTCATCCACGCACTCCCCCAGCTCAACCATGTCCGCCTGCTCCAGCGACCTGAGCTACGGCAGCCGCGTCTGCCTGCCCGGCTCCTGTGACTCTTGCTCCGACTCCTGGCAGGTGGACGACTGCCCAGAGAGCTGCTGCCAGCCCCCCTGCTGCGTCCCCAGCTGCTGCGCCCCGGCCCCCTGCCTGACCCTGGTCTGCACCCCAGTGAGCTGTGTGTCCAGCCCCTGCTGCCAGGCGGCCTGTGAGCCCAGCCCCTGCCAATCAGGCTGCACCAGCCTCTGCCTGCCCTCATGCTGCCAGCAGTCTAGCTGCCAGCCAGCTTGCTGCACCTCCTCCCCCTGCCAGCAGGCCTGCTGTGTCCCCGTCTGCTGCAAGTCTGTCTGCTGTGTGCCCACCTGCTGCAAGTCTGTGTACTGTGTGCCCATCTGCTCTGGGGCTTCCTCTCTGTGCTGCCAGCAGTCTAGCTGCCAGCCAGCTTGCTGTACCTCCTCCCCGTGCCAGCAGTCCTGCTGTGTGCCTGTCTGCTGCAAGCCTGTCTGCTGCAAGCCCGTCTGCTGCACACCCGTCTGCTCTGGGGCTTCCTCTTCATGCTGCCAGCAGTCTAGCTGCCAGCCGGCTTGCTGTACCTCCTCTTGCTGCAGACCCTCCTCCTCCGTGTCCCTGCTGTGCCGCCCCGTGTGCAGGCCTGCCTGCTGCGTGCGCGTCCCCTCCTGCTGTGCCCCCGCCTCTTCCTGCTGTGCCCCCGCCTCCTCCTGCTGTGCCCCCGCCTCCTCCTGCCAGCCCAGCTGCTGCCGCCCGGCCTCCTGCGTGTCCCTCCTCTGCCGCCCCGCGTGCTCCCGCCTGGCCTGCTGAGGCCTCTGCTCAGGCCAGAAGTCCAGTTGCTGCTGGGCACTTCCCCCAGGCCCAACCAGGCTCAGGTCTTGATCTGGCTTAGGTGGCTGCCCCCACCTGGGGACAGGTGCCCATGTCTCCCCTGTGCTGAGGTGACCACCCTCCTTGCTCCCAGGAGCCCCATCCTCGCTGCTCCCCAGCTGCTGCCTCCCAGCACTTACCCACCTGCCTGCTGGGCCCCCGTCCTCCCTCCCAGCTTCTCTGCCCCGGGTCATTTGGCCTCGACCTGAGCCTGTCAGCACCTCTTCCTGCTCCCAATAAACTCTCCTTGGTCACCTGATTCTCTTCTCCTGTGTGTTCCTGGGGAGACACATAGTTTGAGCTGACATCGGTCTCCTCCAGCCATGACTGTTTCTAGGAGTAAGGGCAGTGACCTAACTCCTCTGGATGGGTCACCAAGTGAGACTCCGGCCACACCCAGGAAGGCTCAGTCCCTGCTCAGCCCCCTCGTGCCCTGGGTGTGGACAGGGCTGGGTGGAGACTCCCTGCCAGAATCCTCCTGGCTGTGGGGCCAGCTTTCCCTTCCCAGCCAGCTCCCTGCCCCACGCCAGGGCTCCCTAGTGTTCCTGCCATCACGGGAAGGAGTTTGCCTTTCCTTTGTCACTTACTGGCATCCACATATCACACCCTCTTTCTGAAAGCCTCCAGTTGGGAGCATTCCCTCTCACGGGAAGGGAGGTGAGTTCGGGTGGCCGCCTCCTACCATGGAACCCAAGGGGCTGGGCTGTCCTCTCCCCTCCCCAAACAGCCAGGTCCGTGAGACCCAAACCAGGACAAGTGGTTTGTGCTGAATTGAATGTTAATTAAATATGCAGACCGTAGAGGGTGGTTTCACTTCTTTAGAAAAGTGGCTTTCTAGAATATGGCTTCCAGTTTTACACAGGCAAAGACTTGCTAAAATATATACGCAGTCAGGCGTTGCTTAATGACTGGGTTACGTCTTTGAGGAATGCGTGTGTTACGAGACATTGTCATTGTATGAACGTCACAGACTGTGTTTACACACACCTAGATGGTGCAGCCCACTGCACACCTAGGCTCTCTGGCTCCTAGGCTTACAGCCTGACGGCACGTCGCTATGTAAATGCTGGCCATTGTCGACTGGAACACAGTGTGGCCGCACATGGCTGTATACGCTCTGTTTTCATCCCTGCTTTACCTTTCAGGCTTCATCACGTTCAATTCTATAACTGCGTTAGGCTAGGAATTAATGGAATTTAAATGGCAGCTACGTATAAGCCAGTACTTTGTTTCACGTAACCCAAGTAGGAAAGGAACCCACAAAACACTGAGGTCTCGCCGGACACTGTGTGTCTATACTTTTTAAAAATTGTGGTAAAATACACATAACATAAAATTTGCCACGTACGCTATTTTCAGGTGTTCAGTCCAGTGGCATTCAGGACATTCATGCTGTGCAAACATCACCACCGTCCATTTCCAGAACTTCTTTGTTCCCCCCCAAAACTGACACTCTGCACCCATTAAACACTCACTCTCCATCACCCCCCAGCCCCAGCACCTACCACTCTATCTTTTGTCTCTATGAATCTGACCAGTCTAGGGACCTCATATCAGCTGAACAGCCCCAAGGTTCGTCCATGTTGTAGCGTGTGTCAGCATTTCCTTCCCTTTTTATGGCTGACTAATATTCCACTGTGTGGATGGACCACACTGTGTTTACCCATCCATCCGTTCATGGACACTTGAGTTGCTTCTAGCTTTTGGCACTTGTGAGTCAGCTACTATGAACATGGGTGTACAAATATCTCTTTCAATTCTTTTGAGAATGGACGCAGAAGTGGAACTGCTGAATCATTTGGTAACTCTGTTTTTAAGTTTTTGAGGAACTGCCACCCTGTTTTCTACAGTGGCCGTACAATGTTGATTCCCACCAACAGTGTGCAAGAGTTGCAGTCTCTCTGCATTGTCGCCAGCATAGCACATTCTGCTCTTTGCACATTAGGCATCCTAGTGCATGGGGGCACCTTTGCTTTTACCAGGGACCCGTGCTCCTGACTGAGCCAGTCCCGACCGCCTGGCATCAGCCTTGCCCCTGGCCCAGCGGTCCCACCCGCCTCACACAAGCCCCACCCCCTCATATCAGCCCCACCCCTCACACGCCAGCCCCGCCCCCTCGCCAGCCCCGCCCCCTCGCCAGCCCCGCCCCGCACACCAGCTCCAGCCCTCCATCACCCTGTCCCTCCTCATTTAGAGGGCTAGTTAGAGGGTCCCACCCGCCCTGCCCTGCCTTTCCCCGGCCTCGCCCCTCCAGCCAGCCCCTGCTCGTCTCACCACCTGTGCCCACCTGCCCCGCCCCGAGCCGAGCCCTCCCCGCCCGCGCTGAGCCGGCCTGCTCTCCGCAGAGGAACGAGTACCTGCTGACCGTGGTGGCCGAGGACAGCGACCTGCTGCTGCTCGGCCTGCGCCTCTCGCCCTCCCAGCTGCACTTCCTGTTCCTCAGCGAGGACGTGGCCGGGGCCTGGCAGACCCGCGTGTCCTTCCGCAGCCCGGCCCTGGGGGACAGCCGCTGGCACACGCTGGTCCTGGCTGTGACCGCAGGCGTCTTCTCCCTCACCACGGACTGCGGCCTCCCGCTGGACATGTAGGTGCCCCCGCGGGGAGGGCGCCCCTGCGGCCGCAGAGCCCTGCCAGGCCGGCCGGCCGTCGGCCATGCTCTCAGAGCAATACCTGTGGGAGCTGCCCTGGGCCAGGAGCCGACCGGGGCCAGGAGCTGTGGGCTGGAGGGGCTTTTCCCGTCCCTTCTGTGAGCAGACCGGGAGCCACCGCTCTCCTGTGGCCTTAACGCTGTCCTCTGATACTTGCAGAATGGCCGATGTGCCCTTCCCAGCCACCCTATCGGTGAGAGGAGCTCGGTTCTTCATCGGCAGCCGGAGGAGAGCCAAAAGCCTATTCACGGCGAGTATGGAGGGGCTGCCCTCCCAACACCCGCGCCCGTGGGATAGGGCTGCCCCGGCCGCTTGTCCTGCTCCAGCTGAGCAGGTCCCCAGATGTGCTAACCGGAAGGGAGGGCACCAGCGTGCCTGGAGTGTCTACCACAGGGCCTTCAAGCTTGCTGTTTCCTCTTTCTGGCACCCTCCTCCCTGGTAGGCTTGGGTCCCGACCCAGCAGTCTTCTTCAGGCTGCCCCCACCAGGCTGAGCCAATGCCCACACTGCACCCTGCAGCCCCTTCCCCAGAGCTGCCGCTCCTCGGTAATGCTGACTGCTCTCAGGCCGGCTGTGTGTCTGCTCGGCGCCTATCTCTTCACTCGAATATGAGCAGGGACCTCACTCCATGAGGCTAGAGGCTGTTGTTCCCTGCTGGGCTCAGTGTCTAGGGCCATGTCTGACACATAGCAGCTGCTGAATATTTATCAATGCATGCTTGGACAGACGGATGGATGAGTGGATGGGCGGATGGAGGGATGGACAAATGGACAGATGAATGGATGGATGGTTGGGTGGATGAGTGATGGATGAATGGGTGGATGGCTGGATGGAGGGATGGAGGGGTGGATAGATGAGTGATGGATAAATGGGTGCGTGGATGGGTGGGTGGATGGAGGGATGGGTGGATGGAGGGGTGAATGGATGGGTGATGGATGAATGGGTGGATGGATGGATGGAGGGATGGAGGGGTGGATAGATGAGTGATGGATGAATGGGTGCATGGATGGGTGGGTGGATGAAGGGATGAGTGGATGGAGGCATAGATGGATGAGTGATGGACGAATGGGTGGATGGATGGAGGGATGGAGGAATGGATGGATGAGGCATGGAGGGGTGGATGGATGGGTGATGGATGAATGGGTGGATGGATAGATGGATGCATGGATAAACAAATAGGTGGATAGGCTAATGGATGAGCAGAGTTGCCAGTCACTCTAAATTCACACGAAAAAACCCCTTCTGTGGTTCATTTCCCTGGGAAGGTGGGCGACTTTTCACCATTGCTCCCATGGCCTCCCCAGTAACCATCACTTAGAGACTTCCCACTTAGCTCTGCAGAAGGTTAGATTCCATCCACCCCACCCTCCTCCAGGGTCTGGATGGGCTGAGCCCGGTGTTTCCCTCCCCAGCAGGTCCTTCCTCAGCAGCGTGGGCCTGAAGGAGCTGTCCCTCTCTCTGCAGGGCCTGGTGAGGCAGCTGGTCCTGCTGCCGGGCTCAGACGCCACCCCAAGGCTCTGTCCCAGCAGGAACGCCCCGTTGGCCATGCTGTCCGTTCCACGGGTCCTGCAGGCTTTCACAGGGAAGCCAGAAGAGAACGAGGTGCTAAAATATCCCTATGGTTAGTAGGGGGGCCACCTGCCCCCACACCAAAGGTGAAGTGAGAGCCCTGGCCTCACACCAGGTGGGAACTTGGGGCTCAGTTCTCAGCCCCTCCCATGCGCTTGCCCCTCTCTTTGCTGCCATGGGGGGCAGTGGTCACACTGGCCAAGAGGACGCTCGGGGCCCATGCCCAGGAAGGCAGGCGGTGCCATTAGACAGGCCAGTGTCATCTGCTCTTCCCTCTGGGCACTCCCATGACAGCTGCCCAGCCCCTTCCTGGGCACCCCAGGCAGGCAGCAGGCCTAACTTACTTTAGAAACTCTGTCCAGAGCTATCTGACATCCCTCATCCCCTTTTGCCCCCCATAACAGCATTTGGGCCATTTCTGCTCCACCCCCAGCCCCGCCTCTGTCCCACAGTCATCCAGACCAGCCTGCCCCAGTCGGGCCCACCCTGCCCGTACATGCACATTTCCCACAGTCCCCCTGGCCCAGAGGGTCTCCCGGCTTGGCTTTCTCTTGTGCGAAGTTACAAGGCTGACTGTGTTTATTTAAACCACACCCCTGCCATGGAGAATCTGAAGCGCCCCTCCCCGCCGCATGCCCCACTGCCCTGCAGCCACCCCGAGGGGCAGTGAGGTGGAGGACAGCCAAGCCCCTGAGGCTCAGGGTCAGCGGTTATGAGGTAGGGGAGCCCCCACCTCCCACATATCCGGCCCGCACAGGATACCATGTCACGCAGCTGGTCAGCACAGGCCGGTAGCTGCACAGAGGTCCCACGGAAAGTCGAGAGGCAGGAGGATTGGGACCCACAGTGGGGTGTGACCACTGGCAGTGATGAGATTAAACTGTCGCAGATCCATGCCAGGCCGGGGTTAAGATACCCCAGTGTTAATAGGGACTCGCTCCCGAGGCAGGCCGGCTCTGCGTGCAGTCCCATAACGAGGTGCTAAAACATCCCTATGCTTAGCAGGGGGGCCACCCCCCTCCACACCAAGGGCAGACATGAGAGCCCTGGCCTCACACCAGAGGATTGGGCTTTTCTGTCCCAATGGGACGGAAAGCCATGCCTTTAAGAGTGGACAGAGGGTGGGCTGACCGTATAGGGGACATCGTAATGTCCTTCGTCACCGGTAGGCCAGGTTCTCATTCCCCACCTGTGGTGTGGCACGCCTGTGCCAAGATGCCTGTGGGGACCCTTCCCGGCTCTCGTGCAGAGGCAGGCAGCCTGGTTTGGTCCTCCTCCCCCGTCATCTTCCTCGGGGACACTGGCTTGCTGGACACTCATTTTCCTGGTCTTCCCTGCAGAAACCAACATTCGAGTGACACTGGGACCCCAGCCACCGTGTACTCAAGTGGAAGACGCCCAGTTCTGGTTTGATGCTGGCCGGAAGGGGCTGTACCTGTGTGTCGGCAATGAGTGGGTGTCTGTGTTAGCAGGTGAGGCAGGGCCACTCTGGCACGGCGCAACTGGGAGCCGCGGCTAGGAAAGGTGGCGCCTCAGCCACCTCCGAATGACCTGAGGCTCGGCCACCAGGCAGTGGGCAGTGTCAGTCCTGACCCCCAAAGCAAGTGGTGGCCAGGATGGCCAGCAAGCCAGGACACTGTCCCACCCAGAGCTGCAGGACCCTCAGCCACAGGCCCTCCTTGGGACAGGCGCCTCTCAGGAGAATAAACCACCCTATTTGGAAATGTGAACCTCTGGGGCGTGGCACGCGCTGACAGGGCTGGGCATCACTCAGTACCCCTTCCCAAGCTATGGGGAGACGATGCCTGCATCGCTGCAGCCTCCTGGTAGGGTGGCCTGGCTACCGCCTCTGCCCGCACCCTCCCTGTCCGCTAGCTAGATCGGAGATGACATGCGGACCCTAAAAGGTTATTTTTACAACAAGCCTTCTCAGCAGTCTGCTCCCGCTGCTGGATAGTGAGAGGAGCTTGCAACTGATGCTCCAGACGGGTTACCCATGGGAAACGGGCAGGGGTTCCAGCTGGCACGTGTGTGAGCTGGGCTCTCACTTTATCGAGAGCACAACTTGCCGTGGAAGCGGTGAGACTTTCACAAGGTGGCACTGTGTAAACCTTGTCCTGTTGGTGTCACCGGGGGCTGCACACATCACGAAGCCCTGGCAGCAGCGAGGGCCTCCCTGTGATGGCCTTTCCCATGAGAGTACAATGTGGAAATGCCAAGGCTGAGGCGCAGGAGTTGAGGCTTGGGGCTTGGGGCTCGCGCTCCCATGAGGATTGCTCCGGGTGCCCGTTCTCAGAAATCCTAACCGAGTCACAATGCTTCTATCATAAGCCAAAGAAAGGCTGGACTACGTGGAGGAGCATCAGAAGTTGCTCACCAGCTCCGAGACCCTGGGCATCGAGGTCTTCCGCATCCCCCAGGCGGGGCTCTTCGTGGTCACAGCCAATCGCAAAGCCACGTCCGCCGTGTACAAGTGGACCGAAGGGAAGTTCGTCTCGTATCAGAGCATCCCCACGCACCAAGCACAGGCCTGGAGGCATTTCACCATCGGGAAAAAGGCAAGTCTGTGTTCCGTGACTGTTTCCAGCCCCTTTAACCTGGAAAGTCCACGGGCGGGGCTCCCTCATGGTGTCAACCCCTCGTTCAGGTGCTAGAAGGCTCACAGAGTCGCGCACGTTAGCCTGTCACCCGAAATCCAGGGTGTGACTTTAGGCAGTCGGAATGGAAGGCCAGGCCATCTCCCAGATGCCATCCAGTTCTACATAGACCCCACATCGCTACACTTAAAACCTGCTGAGAGTATTTACATGAGCCGGTCAAGAACCAGAAACTGTTTCAGAAAGAAATTACAAGATGGACATTCCTGATCCTTCCCGACCTCAAGTGTTGAGGACACATGATGTCCACACGGAAGGCTGAGGCCAGGCTCGGGAGCTGTGGGTGACGCCGCGCACATAGGCAGCCGCCTTCCGGTCTGGGTCTGAGAGATGGTTGACATCACAGGGGAAGGACAGGGCTTCCCCTCCCCAGCTCTGTCCACGCCCTGGACTCCACACAGCAGTGTCCTGGAGACAGCACCTCCGGACTGCCTGAAATAGTCACTCACCTGACCGCACTGTGCCAAGCACGTCCACCAGACCCCGCCTGGACACGGGGCTAAAGCAGTGAGCACAGCAGATGGAAACTCTGCTCTCCGGTGACTTATGGCCTCCCTCATCCCGGCTGCATCGGTGTCCAGCATGGCGGGTGGATAACTAGCTCTTTTTTTTTTTGATTGATGATATCATAAGGTTTTAATTTTTCATTATAAACAAAGCTTTGCATCAAGGAAAAATTGGAAAATTCAGAAAAGCAAAAGGGAAAATGTTTTGTCCCTCAACCCAGGCAAGCACGCAGGTTCACGTGGCACCCTCGCCGCAAGCACGTCGCCCGTGACCTGGGCACTGCCCCTCATTCCACGTGTCCACACAGCTGCGCCGTGAGGCCAGGCACACTGCACCCTGTTCCTGTTTTCCACACCTTGTCCTGACACAGCTCTGCGTGGCGATCACACCCTTACCAAGGGGGAGCAGGCTATAATGAGTTTTTCCAGTCATCTGGGTTAGGAAGAACGTTTTTGTGCATAAAGCATTTCCTGAATTTGGGGATTTTGGCTTTTGTGATTTTATTTTTTTGCCTTCAGAAGGCAATAGAAGCGGAAATGTTGGGTAAAGGATGCAGACGTTTTCAAGGGTCTTGAAGGTAGTGGCTGGCTGCGCCCATCCCACCATGACGACCTGTGATGCGGGGCCTCAGTCCTCTGTCCCTGCGCCACGTAGCAGCCGAGTGTCTGGAGAGAGGATGACGTTCAGGAGCCTTCGGCCCCAGGCCTCTGCCCCCGCCCTCAAGCAGGCTCACGTGGTCCTGGCTTACTCTCTTTCAGATCTTTCTGGCTGTGGCTAATTTTGAACCAGATGAAAAGGGTCGGGAGTTCTCTGTCATTTACAAATGGAGCCACAGAAAGCTGAAGTTCACCCCGTACCAGAGCATTGCCACACACAGCGCCCGGGACTGGGAGGCCTTCGAGGTGGACGGGGAGCACTTCCTGGCGGTGGCCAACCACCGGGAAGGTAGGGCAGGTGTGGCCTTTACTCCACGTGGGAATGGCACCTGTGGAGGCCTGGAGGTGGGGCCGGCAAGGGGCTGGCTGAGGGCGGGAGACTCAAGGAGAGAAGGGGCGTCCCCAGCGGCTGGCCTGGCCCTTGAGGGTCTTCGGTCTTTGGGGCAGGGACCTGGAGCTCTGGCTCCATCAGGGCCACCACGGGGCCTTGGAGTTTGCCTCCCGCCCCCAGTGCAGCCCCTCGGTTCCAGGTGACAACCACAACATTGACAGCGTCATCTACAAGTGGAACCCAGCAACCCGGCTCTTCGAGGCCAACCAGACCATCGCCACCTCTGGCGCCTACGACTGGGAGTTCTTCAGCGTGGGGCCCTACTCGTTCCTGGTGGTGGCCAACACCTTCAACGGCACCTCCACCAAGGTGCACTCGCACCTCTACGTCCGGCTCCTGGGCTCCTTCCAGCTCTTCCAGTCCTTCCCGGTAAGGCACCAGCATGAGCCCCAGCTCTCCATCACTGGCCACCGTGCCTGCCGTGTGCACCTGCTGGACAGGTGACGTGGGCTGGGGTCCACCAAGAGCCATGCCTAGTGCCGCTCTGCACCTGTAACCCCAAGGCCCAGGCAGGGCCTGCCCGTCTGCACAGCAGAGGGCTCCTTGCCTGGCATTTGAGCCCTTCCTGCCTGACAGCCTCTGTGTACCCAGGGACAGTTCAGGTGCCCAGAAATGGGGCAGGAGGTGCACTCTGGCTCTGCCCCACCCTGGCATGGTGTTCTCCATACAGTGCCCGCCCCTTCCCTGGGCTCAGAGCAGGCCCTCTGTCCTCTTGGAAGCTCCTGCAGTCTCATCCAATAAGTCTGTATGGGCATTGGGGCCCTGGTCCAGGGGCAGCTGGGCAGCTTGGCTTTGGCCCAGGGCAGTGTGGGGTCTGGGTGGGGGCAGCACAGGACACTCCCCACCAGGCCTCACATGTCCCTGAGCAGGTTCCAGCCACCACGAGGCCTTTGAATTGAGGCAGTGACAGGTGCTAATGAGGCCATCTCTGGGGTGGGGACAGCACGCTCCTGCTCCTGTCGAGTGTGCCAAAGAGGGGACGGGAGCTGAGGTGCGGAGTACGGGACGGGTCGGGGGGCATCTCCCATGTCGGGCTCAGCCTTTGTGTGAGCCATGGTCCCTGGTTCCCGGGAAAGCAGCTCAGGGCCTTTGCATACCACCGACAGCACTCCCACGATTTGCTATAAGCGTGCCTCTCATAAGACATCACCTCCCTCGTGTCCTTCTGGAATCTTCTGTGCCCTCTGACCTGGTGACTCATTCCCCTGTGGCAATGTTCTCAGGACGCTCTGTACCCGAGGCAGTGAGACTCACCCAGGCCACTCTTGCCACATGAGCTGCCCCCAGTGAGGCTGGTACAGGGGCAGAGCCGTGGCGGATGCTGAGGCCTGGGTCCCCCCACCCCCATCAGGGTGTCTGGAAGAACAGGGACAGCAGTCAGGCCTTGCCAAGCTGCCCCTGCATTAGACAAGAGGCTGCATGTGCAGTGGTGGGGGCTTTATGGCTGAAATGATCGAAGGCATTCTGGAACATTCTGTACATACATCTCATGAGAGCAAGCCTGCAGGTAGCACATGGGAATGAGCTTCAAAATGAAAGGGAGGAAGGTGTGCAGCCATCGCAGGTTCCTGGAGCTCCTCCACCCAGCAAGAGTGAGGGCAGCTCAGGAAACAGAGCATGAGCGCCTTGAGAAGCCCGCAGGGGCCGGGCCAGGAGCTGTGGCTGACAGGGCCGGACCATGTGTGTTAATGCCTGACAGGGACTGACCACACGTGTTAATGCCTGACAGGGCCCGACCACGCATGTTAATGCCTGACAGGGACCGACCACGCGTGTTAATGCCTGACAGGGACCGACCACGCGCGTTAATGCCTGACAGGGACCGACCACGCGTGTTAATGCCTGACAGGGATCGACCACGTGTGTTAGTGCCTGACAGTGCCTGACCACGTGTGTTAATGCCTGACAGGGACCAACTACATGTGTTAATGCCGTCCCTTTGGCACTGCGTGCAGAGATGGCAGCAGGACCCCGTGTGCTCAGCTGTCTGGGAGGCAGAGCCGAGCACAAGCTCCTCGTCTTACTGGTCCCTGCACAGACCCCTCACCACAACACGCATGCTGCTAAGACTCTGGGAAACCACGTGGGCATCCTGGGCTGTGCTGATGGTGGCCACGTGCTGGCGTGCAGACAGCTGACCTGAAAGAGGGTTCAGTCATGGGTTAACCTGGCCACAGGGCTCAGCAGGGATGGCTCCCCCTGACCAGGAATCATTGGCCTGGAGTTGGACTTGAGGCCAGTGAGGTTTGAGATGCAAAAGTGGCTGCAAGCTGGAGCCAAGAGCATGATCTGGGCTGGAAATCAGGACTCCCAAGGAGGCCTCGACGCACAGGGACAGCGGCTAAAAAGGCAAATGGTGACACTGAGCAGCAGCACAAGGGTGGTTTGGGGACCAGGGCGCAGCTGCAGAGCACCAGTGATCCGGCCGACAGTGGTTCCCTTGGAAACACCCGGGGCTCCACAGGGGTCTCATGTGTCATCAGGATCACATGGATGCCCTAACAGGAACATGAGCCCTGCTGGAAACACGTGGGGCTCCACACCACTCACGTGTGCCATCAGGATCACGCACCCTCACAGGAACGTGTGCGCTGCTGGCTCCCAGCTCACACATACAGAACCTGGCACACCAGAGCATGTTCAGGGAGCTTTGCAGGAACGAGGAAGGGATTTGAAACACATCACACAAGGAATAATTGCAGGACTTAAGGCTTTATCCTGAAAGAAGATGTGGGTAGTCAGTTCCAAGCAGCTAATGGATGAGCCAGAGAGTGGGGAGCGAGCCTTCCCGGGGTCTTGAGAGCAGAGTTGCACACCCTGGATGGAAAGGCACCACAGTGACTTTCTCATCAACTAGGCAAGGTCTCCTAACAGCTGTTGAACCACGGAGAGGCTTTGGTCCTGGGGGCCCTGCATTCTAAGTCACTAAGTGAGGTGACAAGAGAAAGGATCCCTGCAGTGGGTTGGGGAGTACATTTTGAAGATTACCATCGTAGATCTACCAATACTGTGATCTTAAAGCTCCTGTGATAACACCAAATCCAATTTACAACGTCTTCTTCATGACACTTCACCGAGGTGCACAAGATACCCCAGCGCCCCAGAGTGCACCTGGCCAGCTGCACATGTCACCAGCTGCCATCCTCCCCAGAGCACACCCGGCCAGCTGCACATGTCACCCATGCCATCCTCCCCAGAGCGCACCCAGCCAGCTACACATGTCACCCATGCCATCCTCCACAGAGTGCACCCGGCCAGCTGCACATGTCGCCAATGCCATCCTCCCCAGAGCACACCCGGCCAGCTGCACATGTCACCCATGCCATCCTCCACAGAGTGCACCCGGCCAGCTACATGTCACCCATGCCATCCTCCACAGAGTGCACCCGGCCAGCTACATGTCACCCATGCCATCCTCCACAGAGTGCACCCGGCCAGCTGCATGTCACCCATGCCATCCTCCCCAGAGCGCACCCGGCCAGCTATACATGTCACCCATGCCATCCTCCACAGAGTGCACCCGGCCAGCTGCACATGTCACCCACTGCCATCCTCTTCAGCTAAGGGGCCCTGACGTTTGCCAAAAATCCTAAAAACTGCAGGAGTCAGGCTAAAAAAAATAAAGATGTGCTGAAAGAAACCGAGCTAGCTCTAGAAACAAAAAGGTTTTTTTTTTTTTTTTTTTTTTTTTGAGACTGAGTCTTGCTCTGTCGCCCAGGTTGGAGTGCAGTGGCGCAATCTCAGCTCTATGCAACTTCCGCCTCTTGCATTCAAACCATTAACCTGCTTCAGCCTCCCAAGTAGCTGGGAATACAGGCACGTGCCACGACACCTGGCTAATTTTTTGTATTTTTAGTAGAGATTGGGTTTCACCATGTTAGCTAGGATTGTCTCCGTCTCCCGACCTTGTGATCCACCTGCCTTGGCTTCCCAAAGTGCTGGAATTATAGGCGTGAGCCATGGCACCTAGCCCAGAAAAGAATTTTTAAAGTTTTAACTATCTTCAGAAGTATTCAAGAAGATACTGCACTTATGAAATAAAGAATGCTACTAATGAAGACAACTTGGACATTAAAAATGCAATTGCCGGCATTAAAAGAAGACATTCATTAACATGATTGAAATATAAAGTTACGGATATCTTCTAGAACGTAGAATGAAGAGACAGAATCAACCAGGAGATTCTGTATCTGGCTAAGTAAGTTCTAGAAAAAAAGAAGAGGGTGAAGAAAGTGATGGAGTTGTCAGAGACAGCCTTTAGGAAAACGTCCCAGATCTCATCAGACGGAAAGGACGCTGAGACCAAGGAGGGCGAGAGCCAAGGAAAGTTACCTTCAAAGTGCGCAGGAGCTGCAGCAGCCTCGGATTTCCCATCGGCAGCCCTGGATATCGGGAGGCAGGAGGGCTCAGTTCTGAGGGCGAGCTGGACGCAGTCTGCCGGTAGGACAAGGCCTCTGGCCACTGCCGTGCACAGCTCCCAGGTGTCAGTGGCTTCCTGCCATATTGAGTTAGTTCCCATATTAAGTGAGAGACCACGAGGCTGCACCGTCCTGTCCAGCAGCACACACAAGCCAAAGCAGCTGGAAGGGGCTGGCCTGACCTGTACTCACAGCCCATTGACCAGTGCCAGTCACATGACCCACCCTCACTGAGCCTGTGCTCACGTGTCCTCACAGCTCATTGGCCAGTGCAGGTCACATGACCAAGCCAAGCTGGACCTGTGCTCACATGTGCTCACAGCTCATTGGCCAGTGCCAGTCACCTGACCCAGCCTCACTGGACCAGTGCTCACACATCCTCACAGCTCATTGGCCAGTGCTGGTCACATGACCCAGCCTCACTGGCCCCGTGCTCACGTGTGCTCACAGCTCACTGGCTAGTGCGGGTCACATGACCCAGTTTGGCTGTCAGTGTGGGACACGTGGGAGCCCTGCACGAGGCGGTGTCCCTGGGGTGCACTGGAAAGCCAGGACTCAACCAGATGCAGGAGATCAGAACTGGAAGTGGTGGCTCTACCCGAAGATGACCGTAGGTGTGGTTCCTAGAGAGAAGCCAGTGCAGATGGTCTGGGGTCAGGGAGGGCATGGAAGGGGGATTGGGGGCCGAGGAGCCCACGGAGTGCAGAGCATGTCCAGGGACGCGCTGAACGAGTGCCGGAAGCAAGGACTGCAGGAGACGAGGAAGGCAGGGACTCCGGAGCCAGCCCAGGACGGCCTTACTGCGTGGCAGCAGCCAGGGCGGACGAGACCGAGAGCCTTAGCGAGCAGGAGCAAGAGGCTCCTGGGATGCGAAGATGGGAGAGCTGGGAGCGTTCTTGCGTGCGGAGCTAGTGTGTTTTCTTCCTCTGGGAAGGAGAGAAGGAGGGGAGG